GCAGGTGTTGGGGATTGGGGCCCCCCCTCCGCACCCGCGACCTGGGCAGGGTCAGGGCCCCGCTCTTGTCTCTGTGCTGCAGCTGCTCCATCACCTGCCTGCGCCAGGGCCTCCGGGGTGGGCAGGGGCAAATCCTGCCTGGGCAGACACCCCCCCCTCGGGCTGCCACCCCCTTGGGCTGCCTTTGGGGGGAGGGAAGGGAGGGGGGGGGCAGTGGGCTGCCCTCCCCTTCCTGACAGCCTCACGTCACAGCAATGGGCACAGCGGGGACCCGGCATGTCCTCGCTTGCCCCTTCCCCATCCTCCTGGTGAGGGGCTGGCTCCCTGTGCTGGGGGGGGGGTGCACCCCCCCAGATCCCCTCTGTGCTGGCCAGAGGGGTGGCGCTGGCCCCGGGGGGGTGGGTGTGCGGCTGCGGCAGCCCCGGCTGCGGCCCCTGCCTGTCCCTGCCCGGCGGGCGCTGGCGGCAGCAGCGGGTTCACCGTCGGGGAGGGCACGGCCCTTTTGTGCTGGGAGATAAAGGGCGGGGAGGGCAGGAGGGAGAAAAATCCCCCCCTGGCGCTGTCAGCTGACCGAGCTGGCACCGGGCTGGGGTCGCGCGGGGACGGTGGCCGGGCTGGCCTGCCTGCCAGGCTGGCATGTCCTTGGGAAAGGGCTGTGGGGGGGTGTGTTTGTGTGTCACCCCTTTGTTGTCCTAATGACCCCCCTCTACTCCTGTGTGGGTCTGGTGAGACCTGTGGGGGGTAAGAGCCACCCCTTGCTCAGCATTGGGGGTGGGGGGCTCTGCGGTGGGGGCTGTGTGTGATGGGGTCGGTGGGTGCCAGGGCTGACGGGGCTCCTTCTCTCCCCCAGGTCAACGATTTCTTGTCGGGACGGTCCCCGCTGACCCTGGCCCTGCGCGTGGGCGACCATATGATGTTTGTGCAGCTCCAGCTGGCGGCCCAGCAGAGCAGCGGGCAGCTCCAGCACCGGCACGTCATCGCCAGCCGCGGCGAGGCGGGGGCCGCCGCCAGCCCCCACTGCCGGACGCTGCACGGCGGCACCGGCTCCGGCTTCGCCCGCATCCCCGTGGTGCCCGCCTGCCAGCAGAGCCCGGCCCCCAGCCCCGCGCCCGCCACGCCGGCCCCCCCCATGTACTGTAACGCCCCCCACCCCGCTCCCGTCACCGCCGGGATGTTCCGGTCGCACGGGGCCAGCGCGCAGACGGTGAACAGCAGCGTCGTCTCCTCCTGCTCGGAGGTGAGTGGGACCTGGGGGGGCTCCTGGTGACTTTGGGGCAGGGGGAGCAAAGCTGGGTACTTCCCAGCCCTGCTGTGGTGATGCCCTTCCCTGCCTCAGTTTCCCCA